TGTGTCAAGCACATTTGTACATTTGTTGCCATCATCCTTTTCAAAACATTGTCTTTCTACTTGAGCCCTTGGTATCAGCTCATTTTTTAAATTATGGATATATATATATATTTTTTTTTTTGAATATATTTTTAACAGGTGACAGAACCATTGAGATTTGCTTAAAGGATGAAGCTGGGACTCCAATTCAGGCAGGAGGGGGTCTCGGTTTGCAATTGCTTGATGTCTGCAGTTGCCCTGAAGCTCCAGAGGTTACCATCTTCCCGGCTTCTGCCACCACCAGGCCTAGGCCTCAGCCCCTTCCCCACAACCCAACTGGGGCAGAGGGCTCCTGAAAGAGGCTCAGGTCTTCCCTTCCAGATCCCCACGGGCCTCAGGATGGTTGTCTTAACCTGGCACCTGGGCCCTTCCAACACTTGAGTCCTGTTGCCTCCTCCTCCTTCCACCCCTGCCCCAAACAGCTCCCCATCTCTGTGCTCTCTGACGCCCACTCCAGGCTCCGGGCACATGGCTCCCTCTTTGGGGACTCTGCCTTGGAGCCTCACAGTTGTCAACTCCAGTGTCCCTTCCTCCTGGGAGGCCTCCTCCTCTGGGTTCCTCTAAGATTTCTCCAGGCAGCTGTAGATCCAGGCCTGATTTCCAGCAGAAGCAGAAATCAGAATGCGGGCCTCTCTGAGACGGGGTCTCCTCTCCCTCAGAATGCATTATTAAGTGCCCGCCAGACGGTTCACAGACTGCTGCAGCCAGTGTCACTGATCTCGCTGCCATGCATCATTTCGGACTCAGAGCCACGCCATAGGACGGGGTAGAAAGGATTTCCCTGAGTGTTTATGAGACTGTAACACTCTACAGAACAGCTGATGGCTTGGAATGCCAGACCATGTGGTTCGCAAACCACTGTGTAGCCCACCTGGGTTCCTACCAAAATCAAACAAGTTCCCAGCCATGGGGTACATATGGGCTCACAGTATCCCTATAGGGCAGGGTCCAACTGCACTTATGCGTTTCCAAGATGGAAACTTTTTATGGGAGTAGAAAGCCCCATCCGGTGGTATCAGACTGCTGGTCCTATGGCTCACAATTGAATGAGTAAACCACTAAGACAGCGGTTCTCAACCTTTGGGTCACAACCCCTTTGGGGGTCAAATGACCATTTCACAGGGGTCGCCTAAGATCATCAGAAGGTCTTAGGAACCGAGATACCGCCCCTCTATCTGTCTCCAGGCCGGTCCACCCACATGCAGATACGCTGATCTGGTGAGAAAGAAGCTACCTCAACCTCCGCACAGACGTTGGCTTTTTACCCATACTGTCGCAACATGCAGCAATGTTGTTTGCTGTTGTTAGATTGACTGTTACCCATGCTACACCATGCTTCAAGGCAAAATTTCATTTATTTGTTATTAGAAATAAATATTTCACAATATGTAATATATTGTTTTTGTGATTAACCACTATGCTTTATATTCAATTTGTAACAATGAAAATACATCCAGTATATCAGATATTTACATGACGATTCATAACAGTAGCAAAATGACAGTTATGAAGTAGCAACGAAAATATTTTTATGAAATTGGGGGTCACCACAACATGAGGAACTGTATGAAAGGGTCGTGGCATTAGGAAGGTTTAGAACCACTGAGGCATTAGGAAGGTTTAGAACCACTGAAGTAAGCCATTAGGGTAACTATAGCCAATGTAAAACCCAAAAAGAAAAAAAACCCAAAGTGAATGTCATCAAGTCAATTCTGACTCACAGAGGGGCCAGAGGCTAGATGGTAACTGAAGGGAGAGTAGACAGCTTTCTCCAGTTGAGTGGCTGATGGTTTTGAATTGCTATGCAGATAGCTGCCCAACGGGTTAATTCTGCCACTAGAGTTCCTTTACAGCCCATGTAAAAAGAACCCAAATCCTAGCAATGAGATCTGTTATCGGAGAAAAGATTTGAAGTTGTCAGGGATTTCATCTGGCGTGCATCCACAAGGAACGCCTACAGGGCAGCAGCCAAGAAATCCACGGAACGATTACATTGGGGCAATCTGCTGCACAAGACAGATTAAAGTGCTGAAAAGCAAAGGTGTCACTTTGAGGACTAAGGTGCGCCAGGCCCACGACTGGCTTTTTTCAAACGCCTCATATGCATGTGGAAGCAGGACAAAGAAAAAGGTGAATTCTTGAGAGAGGCTTAATCCACAGGCCTTGAAACTGGGGCCCAGAAAGGGGTGGGAGCGGCCCCTGTACGTGGGCGGCGGAATGGCCCGGCCTGGGCTAACGTCCAGCCAAGAGCACAGTGGCTGGCGTGCAGGGATAGCGACCTAGGGGAGCCCTCAGTGCCGATCTGGCTCCGGAGACCACCTTTCGGTGGACGTTACGCGAACACTGGCTGTTCCAGCCGTACGCCGATCCGCGGACTACAACTCCCGAGAGGCCTCGCGGCCAAGCGGGCCGGCGGCTCTCGCGGGAAGACGGCGGCTTGAGCGCGCGGGCGGGGGCGAGGCCGGGAGGAGGCGCGTTTCAAAGTAGTAATGGATGGCTCTCGGGTCCAATCGAATTGAAAGTTCTTACTAAACCGGTTGGCTGAGGGTATAGAGGGCGCGGTGGCCAATAGGGACTCGAGGAGGGCGGTGCCTCACCCTCCAGGGCGGAAGTGAATCTTTTTTAGGCTGTGGCGGTGGCTTGCTTGAGGAGTTCTCCCCAGACGCTTTCCGAGGTGTCTTCTTCTCCGTGTTCGCTGGCTGCGGAGGTACCCGACTAAACCCATTCGAGTATGGCCGGGTCTCGCGGGAAGGTAGCGGCCGGGGGGCTCCGGTCGACTCAGGGCTCGTCGGCTGCGCAGCCTGAGGAGGCCGCAGCGCCCGCGATTCCGGAGCCGCCGCGGCGCGGCGCTGACCCGTCTCTGGGCCCCGACGCCGGGCCTCTCCCGGGAGCTCGGGCCGCGGGCACACATCCGCCGCCCGGCGGGCTGCGCCAAGGGGCCGAGCTCGGCGCGGCGGCGGCAGTGGGGAGCTGGGTCTGCGTTCCGACGTCCCCGGCGGGCAGCCACCGCGGGGCTCCGCTAACAGCCCAGGAAAGGAAACTGAGGCTGGGGAGGGGCTCGTGGGGAGGGGGTTGGGCAAGGGACGCGCCCAAGGTCACTCCGGGGCCGGCCGGGGGTTGGGGGGCCGCTCGCCTAGAGCTTTTGCCCCCCACCAACGGCGCCTCCTTTGTGTGCTCGCGCCATCACGGGCCTGAGTGGGGCCGGGGCGTGTGGGCGGCCCCCGGCGAGGACCCCTGGCACCACACCCAGAAAAAGGCGCTGGAGGGCGAAACCCTGCTGCAGGAGGTCGGCTTTTGTCCCAAGGGACCATTGCCTTGATGCTCCAATCCCACCTCCTGCCCTGCACCCACTCGGGGAAACTTAGGTCCCAAGTGGCTCAGGCTCTTGGGGGCGGGACGTGAAAGGGGTTCTCACCCCCGCTTCCAGGGCCGAGACACGAAAGGATGGGGGACAACCCTTCTGGGGCTGCTGGCTGGGTGACCTGGCTCGGCTCAGTGTGTATCTACGAGTTCGAGCTAAAAATGGGGACGCGCTAGTGGAAACATCAACGTCTGGCCTTTGTGTTGCCTGAGTCAACTCTGACGCTGAAATCTTCTTACGGTAACCCAGCGGGCTCCGGTTGTCGGCGCTGTTAGCACCCGCCCGCCCACTCCGTCCGGAGCCGCCTTGTTCTATGTTGAGCCCCTTGTTGCGGGCACTCTGTCACTCGGTCTTGTAAAGGGTCTCCCTCTTTTTCGCTGACCTTCTACTTTACCAAGCATGATGTCCTTGTTTAGGGAGTAGTCTCCTGAGAAGATATTCGAAGTATGGGAGACAAGTATACTGTTTTGTTTTGGTATCCTAATAATGGTCTTTGTTGACATTTTCCACCTTAATAATTTGACCCTTGGAATTTTACAGTTTATATATATATATATATATATATATATATGCACATACGTGTATATGCACACATATACACACATAATTGTTTTTTAGGTTAAGGTGTTAACAGCAAATTTAGGTTCTTTTTTTTGCAAGTTCTTGACATTGGTTGCAATCTTTACAGCGTGGTTGCAATCTTTACAGCGTTAGTGTTCTCATTCTGTTTGCATTGGTTGATCTTTTCTCCTCATACATTTAATTGTTTAAGGGGAGCACATTCTCAGACCATTCCAACTCCTTGTGACCTTATAAGACAGAATGAAACTTCGAGTTTCCAAGACTAAATATTCGTGGGCGCAGACGGCCTCACCTCTCTCTCACATAGCTGGTAGATCTGAACTGCTGGCCTGGCCATTCTGCATCAGCTCAGCTCATCACTCACTCCATCACCAGAACTCTTGTGAGGGAGAACACTACAGAAAACAAATTACCAAATCCACTGCCATCTAGTAGTTTCAGAGTCACAGATACCCAATAGGCAGGGTTTCTGAAGTTGTCAATCTTTAGGAAGGCAGCTAGCTTCATCTTTTGGCTGGTGGTTTTGAACCACTGGCTTTATGATTCGTAGTACCGTCCTTACTGGACAGTACCACCAGGGTAGGGTACTTTACATGACTCACAGGTGACAATCTGTTATTTGGCTCAGGTTACTTGCAGAAATAACTTCAGTTCCAAGTTCAAAGGACATTTTAGGGAGACACTATTGGGGGTTCATCTAGTCTCTATGGGGAGGTGCCTCTAGTTTCTTAGCTGTCTAGTAGTAGGTCTTCCCTTTTGGGTTCTGTATAAATTTTTCTGTTCCCTCCAGACCTTCCATCGTGTCCCTGGGCAGAGTGGTCAGTATTGGGAGCACTGGGCACCATCGGCACTTGAGGCACCAGTCAGAAAAGGCTACAGGCGATTATTCGCATGGGCCAGTTTCTTTGGTTCTTCATTCTCATTTGCTCCATATGAGTAGAGGCCAGTCGTTGTATCTTAGATGTCCACTTAAGAGCTTTTAAGGTCCTAGATGCTACTCCCCAGACTAGATGTAGAGTGTTATCTTTGTACATTAGGTTATGCCACTTAACTAGTGTATTCCCCCACTGTGGTCCCAAGACTTAATTCAATAAACCAATTTCACAAATTGTTGGGATATGTCTAGGGTGCCTCTATTACTGTTCCCCCATGTGGTTAACTATGCAGTACCCACAATTGTGTTGTGGGTAATTCAGTGAATTGCTCAACGTGACCCATCTAGTCACAATCCTTGTGATTCCTCTGGAGGGATTGGTGGGGCTATGTCAATAAGGTGCCTCAGGCCCACTCATGAAATGGCTGCTCATGAAATACGGTGTTTGGAACCTGTGGTGGCTAACGTGTATCAGCTCAGCTTGGCTGTGATGATCAATGGATTGGCAGGTACATAATGATGTAATTTGGTAGTTAAGTAGTGGTGTTATCCTCCATTTTGTAGTCATGAAATTGTCCAACATTTTGTAATGACATCCTAGGTACTCGCTGATTATGAGCCCATTGAGGAGTTATTTATCTGTTGTGTAAATGAGGTAGAACTAAGGGTGGGGGTATATCTTGTCACCATTTACTAGAGGATTTGACTGCCATGTTCCAGTAAGAGGCATTTCCTTGATGGTATTGTCTGTATTCAGTATACCAAAAAAACCAGACTTACTGCTTAATGTTGGTTCATAGCAGCTCCTCTGAAACCCCCACCCCCCTTTGGGTCTCCATAACTGTAACTGTTGACTGATGTAGAAAGCCCAGTCTTTGTTCCTGAGGAGCTGCTGCTGGTTTTGAACTGCCTACTCTGGATTACAGCCCAGTGCATAACCATTAGACCACAGGGCTCCTGCCTTCAGTATTCAGGGGGTCTTTAAAAAGCTTTTGGAACATGGAATTGAATGATGGGATTTGTATGGACTTTTTAAAAGCCCTCTTTTATATGCATGCTCTGGCAAAGTCCTGGAGCTGACTTACCATCCATCACATCTGACTCTGAGTTCTTGAACCAGCAGCCCGTTATGTGATCTGTTGATTTAGGTTGTCAGCCCCCACAACCAGGAGTTCTGGTGGTGTGTGTAGTATTGGAGTGTAATCCCCAAGGTCAGCAGTTTGAAACCACCATTCATGCTGTGTGAGAAAAATCGGGCTTTCTACTCTCACAAACAGTTATACTCGGAATATCCTTGGGGCAGTTTTACTCTGCCCTACAGGGATTGTTATGAGGTGACATTGGCATGATAGCAGTGAGTTTTGGAGTTTTTTGCCCCTGCAACCATATGAGCCAAGAGGGGCCTTCAGCTGATGCCTGACCCACAGATTTGGGACTTGACCAGCCTTCATAATCGAGCCATTTTTCTAGATGGTTTGTGAGTTCTGTGAGGTGTTGCAGTGCGTGATGGGTATGAGGCGAGAGGAGAAAGAGTCGATGGTGGGTATACAATAGCTTGGGAAAGTTGGGCACTTGGAACATGTTTGGCGTCCACCTTAAAGGAACCAGCTTTGTGCTGATCCTTATAAAAGAATTTATTTGCTTATGTGTATGTATATATGCCTTGCTATGCCCATAAACCAAACCCAGCCAACTGCTCTCAGGTTAATTTTAACTCCGGCTCATCGTACCCCTGTAGAACAGAGCAGAAATGCTCCATAGGGTTTCAGAGACTGCCTCAGTTTTCTCCCAAGAGAGTGGATTTTGACCGCTGACTTTTTTTGTCCAATATTTAACCCTCTGGAACCAGGGCTCTGTTGAGCATTTGTATTAATTTTCCTTCAGAACCATGTCCATTTTTCTTGTATGTTGTTGCCCTGCTGTTGCAAAATTGTGTATGTTGTAGCATTTACCAAAATTGTCTCTCTCATGTTTTCTTTAGTGTATTTATCTACTTTAGCCAACTTATGCTAACTTCACCCCTGTTGAGATTGCCATTCTCACCACCAAAATTAACAGTCTACTATCTAGAAAATGGTCCCATGCCCCATCCTTAGTAACCACCCTTAGAACTCTGCTTTCTGTGTATGTGTTCTTGACTTTCAGTATTCTCACCCTCCAACAGCACGTTGATTCTGACTCATAATCTATGAGGGTTCTTTTTGTTTCCGAGGCTGCAAGTCTTAAGGGAGTAGAAAGCCTTATCTTTGTCCTCAGAACAACTGGTGGATTCACACTGATGATTCATGGTTAGCAACCCGCCTGGCAACCCACGCTGCTTCCAGGGTCCCTTTTTATGATAGCAGTATCCATTGACTTGTCTTGGTGATGGGCAGAGTTCACGCACCCCCACAAATGTTGAAGTGCCACGTCTATGATGTTTGTCACCTGTGTTTCTGTGCTTTAGACATAGAAAGGATGAAGAAGTTGTGGGGGTCCCTGTTGAGCACACCTGCTGTGGTACTGCCAGCAAATTCTTGAGGTCATCTAAGCCCTGTGCTGGAGTTAGAGAAGTGGACCAGCATCTTTGTTTAGGAGTTCCGGGTTTAGCTCCAGGATGGTTTGTTCGTTGGCAGTCCGCGGTG